TAATATACATATATATATATACATACATACATATATATATATATATATATAATATATATATATATATACATAACATATATAATATACAATATATATATATATACATAAATATAATATAATATATATAATATATATACATACATATATATACATACATATATATACATATACATATATATACATATACATATACATATACATATATATATATATATATATATATATAATATACATAATATATATATAATATACATATATATACATATATATAATACATAATATATATATATATATATATATATATATAATATATACTATACATATACATATATATATGCATATATATATACATATATATATATATATATGTATATACATATATACATTATATATATACATATGTATACATATATATATAATATATATATACACGCACACACACACCACACACAACCACACACACACACACACACACATATAATACATATATATATATATATATATATATATATATATATATATATATACATGAAAAAATGAAATATATATGGACCTCTACTAATACATACATAATCGCTTATATAAAGCACACGCACACACATAATATTAATATCAAAATTGTCATTATGATTATTATAATCATTATCATCATCAACAATATCATGGCCGTATGTATTACCATTATCGTTATCATTACTATCATAATTATCATTATCAGCATCACTTTCTTTGTCATTATTGCCATCATCACCACTACTACTTTCTCTTCCCAAACATCCCCGGACATTATGACATGGACTTCTTTCCCCCAGTGACATCATCGACCGTTCGGACACGGAGTCGCTGGCGTCAGACAGCGACGACAGCGGCGTCAGCAACGACTCGACCGTCTGTCGTCAGCGTCACGTCAGCCACATATCGCGCCCTCGACGCCTAGCGGCGGACCCGAGCTTCAGGTGAGGCCTTTTGGCGGGGAGAAAGGAAGGGGGGGGGTGGAAGGAAAGGGGGAAAGGGGAAGGAGGGAGGGAAAGGGGGAAAGGGGAAGGAGGGAGAGAAAGAGGGAAAGGAGGAAAGGAGGGATGGAAGGGAAGAGGGAATGAGGGGGGAGGAGGGAAAAAAGAGGGAAAGGAGGGAAGGAGGGGCAGAAGGGAGGAGGGAAAGAATGAGGGAAAGGAGGGAAGGAAAGAGAAAAAAGGTGGGAAAGAAAGAGCGAAAGGAGGGAAGGATGGACGGAAGGGAAGAGACTAAGGAGGGGTGGAAGCAAAGGAAAGTGGGAAACGAGGGGAGGACGGAAGGAAAGAATGAAAGGAGGGAAGGCAGGACGGAAGGATGGACGGAAAGAAGGGTCGTAGGAAGCAGAGAAAAATAATAAGTAGGAAGGAGAATGTGAAAGGATGAATAATTTAGCGCCATGAAAATAATGAGTAATAATAATTCAATCCTAGTAAAAAAAATCATCAAAAAATAAAAATAAGATCTAACTACTAATAACAAAAATAACAAACTACAGGAAGAGAGCAAAGAGAATTAATCATCTATCAGTATCATTAGATTCCCCATATGTCCAAGTGAAATCAAACTGGAACAGAAAAAAGTCCAGCTCTCGGATGACTTAGACCTACAAACTTCTCCGAAATAGCTCCGTCTATAAGTGTTAATAAAAAGGCATTAATTCCCTTTCCACCTGATTATTTAATGCCGCCGAGCTGCTAGAGGCTCTCATCGCACGCTTTTTGAGCAGAACTTTTAGAGGAACTTGAACGGCCACGCTTCGCCAAGGGCCTCAAGCCTCCAATATTACGGATCCTCTTTCTGTTTACCTTCAGAAAAACAACAAAGGTCTTTGTTCTTTGCGCTTCAAAAGAAACACCAGATTTTTTTTTTTTTGTGCTCTTGTTCTTCTAGTTCTATAGAATAGCAATGCAACACACAGAAAAGACAATTATAATCTTATTAGACGATAATAACTATGGCAACATCGACAGTGCACACTCTTTCCTGTATGAATTTGAGAGTTCTGGCATAGAAATCAAAACTCTAATTTCTTTGGAGACCTAGAGAGCATTATCGGCCCAGTCTGACCTGTCTCTAACGGCTGTGTCACGTCGTCCAGTCAGGGAAGAGATTTTAGTCATTTGCCTGGACAGTTCAGAGGCCCGTCTAAACCGTGTTATAACCACTCAAGGTCCATGCTAATATTTTGTCTCAAAGGTTCCTTGTTCTGCCCAGTCAGAGAAGAGATTTTAGTCGTTTGCCTGGATAGTTCAGAGTCCCGTCTAAACCGTGTCATATCCACTCATGGACCAGTCTAGTATTTTGTCTTAACAGTTCCTTGTCTTGTCTGTGTCGCGTCAGGTCGAATCTCAGTCGCGCCTTATCGGAGGTCCCCGGTGGCCCTTCGGGCGAGGGCACGGGGAGGCACTCCCTGGCAGCGAGCCAATTTCCCCCCAGATACCTGACGTGGCACGGCGGAGACTTTGAAAATTCCTCCTCGGAAATTACGTCAACAGCCTCGGGCTAAAGTGTACGAGGCGATCCCTTAACTTGCTTGTGACACGAAACGTATACAACAGTACTTATTCATTCCTTTGTTTAAGGGGTTTACGTAGAGGGAATATAATAACTGCCTTTAAAATAAATACTCAAGAGGTCATTCTAACCGCCAAACAAAAGTAATACATAAAAACACATTAACCTTTGCGAAAACCGATCTCTAGTAATACAACACCCAAAATGATAACAGCCATAGGATAGATTGATAGCTAAATAGGGAGAGAAGGAGGGAAGGAGGAGGGAGGGAGAGGAGAGGGAGGAGGAGGAGGGAAGGAAGAAAGGGAGGAGGAGGAGGAGGAGGAGAGGAGGAGGGAGGGAGGGAGGGGAGGGAGGGGGGAGGGAGGGAGGAGGGAGGGAGGGAGGGAGGGAGGGAGGGAGGGAGGGAGGGAGGGAGGGAGGAGGAGGAGGGAGGAGGTAGGGAGGGGAGAGGGAGAGGGAGAGGGAGAGAGGGGGGAGAGGAGAGAGTGAGAGAGAGAGAGAGAGAGAGAGAGAGAGAGAGAGAGAGAGAGTGAGAGAGAGAGAGAGAGCCAAAAAGGGCAAGGCACCCCTATGACCCAGAAGGGAGTGGGGAAGCCGCAAAAACTGTCCTCGCCAGACGCTGCATGACGGGGGCAAAATTTCAAGGTAATATCCTCATGCAATTACCAGATGATAGATCATCTGGTCGTCTATATCCTGTTAGTTCTCATCTATCACCCCACTCTCCCTCTCTCTTTCATGTTTTTGTCAGTTGTCTTTCTATCTTTCTCTCTCCCTCATTCACTCCTCTGTTCCATTTATTCATTCATTCATTCATTCATTTCACACACACGCACACACACACACACACACACACACAACACACACACACACACACACACACACACCACACACACACACACACACACAACACACACACAACACACCACACACATACACACACACACATATACACACACACACATACATACACACACATACATACATATATATATATATATAATATATATATATATATATATTATATATATATATATATATCGCTTTCCCATTCGAATTTACACAGGCAATCAATCGGCCCTCTCACTCTGACCTCGTATCATCTCTTCTTTTCTACCTCTCTCTCGTCTCTCTACCTTCGTTAAGCCTCTTGTTTGGTCTATCCATCCTGCCGCCATTTTCCCCGTCACTGACTCTGCTCCGTTCCAATATTTCCTCGTTTTCACTCTAAGCCACGTCATCTCCTGTTTACGAGTGTGGGAGAGGACGGGGTAGGGGAGGGAGAGGCAAGGAGAGGGAAGGACGGCAGGAGGGAAAGTGGGTAGGAGGAGGAAAGCAGAGGCAGAGGAGAGGGGAGAAGGAAAGAGGGTGGAAGGGAGGGAGGGTGAAAGGGAGGAAAAGGAGGGATAGGAAGAGGAAGGAATGGAGGGAAGGAGGAAGGGAGTAAGGGAAAAAGGGAGAAGGGGGAGAGAGAGAGAGAGAGAGAGAGAGAGAGAGAGAGAAGAGAGAGAGAGAGAGAGAGAGAGAGAGAGAGAGAGAGAGAGAGAGAGAGAGAGAGAGAGAGAGAGAGAAACAGACCAAAATAAAACAAGCGCGCAATCCCTTCCCTAGCCTCTATCTCTTCGCTCCGCACCCCTCATTCACTCACCTTCCCCCTGCCTCATGCACCTCAGTGTTCATGACCTTCGCTTCTAATCACTTTCTTCCTTCCTTCCTCCGCTCGTCAAATTTTCTCTCTTCGAAATGCCTTCCTTATTCTTTTGTCCCTCTACCTTTCCCTTCTCTTTCTTGATCATTTATGCGTCTCGCTTAATCTTTCTTGTCATCTCTGTTCTATTTCCCCTTCCTTTACTTCTTATCTTCCTCTTTCCTTACTTACATCTCTCTATCTCCCCTTCTATCTATCACGAATACGCGAGTGATTTGTGCAAGGCTTCCATTTCTTGTCCTTTCTTGTGGCGCTGCAACTCTTCTCATCTTGATTCACCTTATCCCCGCCCACATGATTCACCTTATCCCCGCCCACATGATTCACCTTATCCCCCCACATGATTCGTCTTGTCCCCGCCCACATATTCACCTTATCCCCGCCCACATGATTCACTTATCCCCGCCCACATGACACCATCCCCGCCCACATGATTCGTCTTGTCCCCGCCCTCTTGATTCGCCTTATCCCCGCCAATCTCTCTCCTGGACTCTTCATCATCTGCGTCCTCGTCTGCATCCGCCTCGAGTCCTGCCCTGGCTCTCCCTTTCATCATGCTGCGATAGCGAAACACATGCCAGGTCAAGTCTGCAAAGCAATGCAGCAAAACGCACGCATGCACACAACGCACGCACACACACACACACACACACACACACACACACACACACACACACACACACACATATGCATGGATGTGTGTGTGTGTGTGTGTGTGTGTGTGTTGTGTGTGTGTGTGTGGTGTGTGTGTGTGTGTGTG